CAGTATCATGTGATCATTATATAACTAAATATATTGTGTGGAGTGACAACTATTCGACACCATTCACTTTTGGCATTCACAGAATATCTTTTTAAAGTACATATATATATATATAACTACTCTTATTTTTGATTAATATTTTGACTTTTTCTTCTTAACACTATCAATACCTAAACAACACTCTATTTTTGGTCATTTGCTCCCTTTCATAACACTTTGGTTAGTAGAACTGATATATAACTGAGTATAACCCTTTTATTATATAAGCTAAATTAAGAGATTTATTTTTCATTGTATAAGGACAAAAATGTCGATTAATATTATTTTTGTCACCTATGGTAAGTGACGAATTTTTAAAGTACAATAATTCAGGCTGTTTTTAGTGTGTGTCAGTAATTGACATTAAGATAGATTAATGTGGGTCTGGTAATAAACTGATTTTGTTTGCATTCGAATACTTAATAAGTTTTAATCAACTCACTAAGTGATGTCACTTTGTGGTGAGGTCTTTCTTGAAATCTGTCTATCGACTGGACACCTAAACATGGTTCCACTACTGGTATCGATCCATGAGAGATAAATTTGCTAAAGACTGAATAGGTTGAAACTAGCGGGGACTATAAATGCAAGCATTCATCTGTGTCAAAGAATGGCTATGATCTTATGTACATCGATCAGTGGATTCAAACTCAGAGGAATAAGGTCAATGTGCTTATCTTGTAATATGGAGCTCCTAGGTTTAGTATCTGATGACTGTGTCAGTAGATCTGCACAGTCTAAATGCAAATTATTGTTGAAAGATTGTTAGTAGCTTGTACATGCACTCACCCTCGTAGGGGAACCAGTTGAAATTGTCAACATGTTTTCATATCTAAGTTGTGTGAGTGCTGGCGGAGGTATGACGGACGAGGGCTTCAACTGTACAGTGAAAACCAAGGCGACTTATGCCAACTTGGGCCACCACTAGTTCCGTCTCAATGGCTACCTAGCTATCGAATGTTGGCTTTACAGTGCTTCAGCGCACACAGTTTTACTCTACATTTGTGCAACCCGGCCTCCTGGAAGAGACTTTGCGTATTCGACTACCACTACCTGCGTAGAATTCTATCATCATGTAAGTAATTCTGAGGTCTGGCAGCGAATGATTGGACAGGCATGAGTACATCAGTTCACCTGTTGCTGTGGAGCCAGATACACTGGTCGTTCGACTCGTTTCCTGTCCAAAAGGAGGAGTGCAATAATCGAACATCTCGTAAACATTAGTCATTCTATCTCAACTAGCTTCTCCTTCAAGGGATCAAAAAAGTGAAGAATAATCTACCAAACGTAATACCCTTTTGTCTCCTTTGTATTACTTAAGCCTTAGCCATTCAGTTTGAAAAACCAGAGCTATGTATACAAAAGAAAATCATCCAACCACTTCTACTATCATGGTAACAGCCGTGTCGACTTCTACTGACTTGATGTTTGTGTGCTAGTTTTTTCCTAACTGTTTATAACATTTGTAATTTTAGAACTCCTACATACTTCCATATTTTGCTTTGTTTCTATGTGCATCCTAATTACAATTCATTCATTCAACAATTCATGTTATTACGTGAATGTATTATACTTATTTGTGCATCGGTGGCATAGCGGTTAGGACGCTCGCCGACCATGCACGTGGTCTGAGGTTCGATCCCCTGCGGACGCAATCCTTTACCTCGCTGAGCCAGAAATAGTGCTAGTAAAGTGGAAAGGTTGGACATGAGGCTAGCAACCCCATCCTGTAAAATAAACACTGCTACAGAAACTTCAAGCTACTAGCTTGATGCCCTATGTTCCACTGGGGAACGTGAAGGAAAAACAATTATACTTATTCAGCTTCTTTTATGTGTTGATCAACATTACTCTGTATTTTGGAAAACAGACACTGCCTTCTTAACAATTTCACCCCGCTAGTTATAAGTTGATCATTCATCACATTTTTGGAATATCTTGACAACAGTAACCCTAACTAATTTTTATTCTTATCGGACAAACCGAACATACACACGTACAAAAATAAGTATATATAATTGCAACTGTACAATAAGTGGATGAATTCACTGAAAAGAGACTCTTGGCTGAAATACGCGTATTATTTTCATTATTGCCGGAGATCATCTCTTATCAAGTGGTGTCACTTTGGATGACCGAATTCGTTTGCTTGGAATGAGCAGCGATTATCATTCCAGAGGCGCTCATACTGTTCACTGTTCATTAGTCTTGAGACTCAGCGGAGAAAGTGTAGAGGCGGTTAGTCTAAGACGTGACGCCGTTGAATGAAGGATATTTGTATAGGTTGATATTCGTTAGTGTGTCATATCTGCAACCCGAGACGTTATGATATATGGCCAAGAACTATAATCAGTAACTAGCATGCTGTAATTTCCTGCTTTCCTCCCTTTCTAAAAGAAGCGTGAAGTAATGAACTATCCTTTGAAGGATACTGACAGTTAAGCCCAAACTCCTTCTGGATGTTTCATATATATTCATTTCTACTTCACTCATTCTGCTGTTTTATTATTTTTTTGTTGGTGTGACGCCTTTAAATATCCATTTTTACTCATCCAAACCAGAAGGCTAGTTAACACAAACTTTTAAAATTGACTCGTGATTTTTTTTGATTGATAAACAATTTTTTATGTATAATATTCTATGTGATTCGAAAGCATTGTGATACGGTCACTGGAGTACTTGTGTTTAAATTCTTCATTGCTCACCAATCCCCATGATATCAGTGTTTAAAAAGAATGCAAGTAGTTATGTATGAACTAGGATTGGTATTTTGAACGTGTTGGCACTGTAGTGAATTTAAATAACCCTGTTTCAATGGATTATTTTTGACTTTCATGATTTCTGAAAAAGTTTTCAACAGTTTCTAACAACATAGAATATGTCACATCATAAAAAGAAGTAAATAAGTTTTGATTCAAACTGGGTAGTTTTGAATAAACTATCTGATCGTTGAAGTTTCATTTGGATTCCGAAGCCAACTAACCACAGTTGAACAAATTCATCGTGAGAGTACAGTTTGTGTTGTAGTTCATAGAGAAAATTAGTAGTTCAGAATGAGGTTGAAAATTCTCCGGTGATATTCGACCCATGGTGTTTGATTGTGGACTTGGTAACATCATGTTCAGTGACATCTCTCTTCGTCTATCCCTAATTTTCTTATTATTTTTAACTTGATTTCCTGGTGTTTCCTTAAATAAGAGTGATTTTACACTTGACTAACACTTTTCACTTCTGGGGAACACAGTTTAAGGAAATATCTGTATGAATTACTAGATAATAGTCAACGGGAACCTAGTAAGAATAACAGAAATAAGTTTACTCAAGTGTTTATATAATACGGGTAATCATTCGTTGTAGATGACCAATTAGAATGTGTATACTTGTGGGAATAGAAAGGTAAGCAGCTTTAATGTCAGTAAAACGTTTGAGCTATTGTTTCAAAGCAGCAATCCGATAATACATTATTTGGCTTTGTAATAGATTGTGAAATTAAAATTAAAATGTGCATTTGCAACACACTTTGACATTAAAAATAACAGAGCCCCTAGTAGGAATAAATATAGCACTTACAATTATCCGGTGTCACCAAGAAAGAAAATTATTTTATTTGTATGTAGGTTGAAGGTGAAGGCCGTGGGGCAGAAAGATTAGGATGAAACTTTTTGATGGCATCTGTCTCAACTATGCTTAACATTGGAATGTGTCTAAGCGGCATATCACAAAGATGTTACAAGCTAAATCTTTGTCCACCTGATTCTCAGAATCCACTAAACACGCCAAAACGTAGGCTTGGAGATCTGTCCCACTTGTATAACCGTCTTCATAAGAGCAGTTAAATATATGAATGTATGTTGAAAAGGCCAGACTGGATAGCTTATCGTTCACCTGCTTTGGAATTATATAACAAATAGTGTAAATTTTACAGACACACATTCAGCTATCGTTTTTTTCTCCTCAGAGTTTCTTTACCGCTTATTTGGCAGCTACATCACCTTTGAACGGTATGACCGAGTATAAGAGTTTTTCATTTCGATCATCTGCAAGCCCCTTTGTCTAACTCTTCCCAAATTATTAGCCTTCAGAGCCTAGATATCTAATCCCCAATGCTATTACAACAAAACAGTCTATTTAAATGTGTAATTTTTAAGCAATCATTATTAGTTGAATTAAAAAGACTTGAAAATGTAGGTTTTATTATTATTATTAATTTAGATATCAATATAATTAGGAAATCGACCTATCACTGTCAGTCGTCGCATGTAAATTCAAACTGCATAAATAAATCTTGCATTAATAAATAATCTTCAGATTACTTTAGACATCAGCTGATACTTATTTCAGATAAGTCAGAGTCTAGATGTAGAATCCAGAATGCATTTTTCGTTCTACTTGAAGTTCATTTCACAGGATGTTTTCTGTCTTCAGACTCATACTATTCACATATCATTTTCCAACGCTAAATTTTGTCTACATGATTACTGAGACACACTTCAACAAAAAAGTACTGACTGAGTTCATTTAAACAAACAATCAAAGTCACAAACGAATTATGTCACATGACCAAGTGGTTAGTGACTTAGCAAACCGATGGATGCTTGGTTAAGGCACGTATTTTTCCTTGGTAGTTAACTCCTCCTAACACCTTAAATTAATCTGCCCAGTTCAGGGGAATAAACAGTGTTGCCTCAGTTATCATATACTTAGAACATCACGTTCACAGCATATATGAGGTGTAATGATTCCCATCGATTATGTAATTAGTTCATTGCACGGCCGGAAGACTATTCATTTCTCCTGGCTTTATAAAATAAGAGTGAAAAACCCGATTCCTCCTCATGCACTAACTATTCTCTAGACCTTAAGACTATTTTCTGACGCAATCATACCTAATCATAACAACGAATAAAAAATTTTTAAAATATCTGTACAATAATTTACACTTGTATCCATTCATAACTTACCGCTCTACCTCCTTTATGTACTAATGAAGGTCCTAGTAGATTACTTTTTTGTCCAGTTGCCATTATTCACGCTTTAGAAAATGCTTTACTCAACAGATTTAGTTAATGTTAATCAGTGAATGATTATGAGTAAATTTTATGCTTATAAATAATAATTTTGTAAAGGTTGAATTCTGATTGGTTATCTCCTGAGTTCATTTTTGATTGGTTAATAAATCTAGCTACTGGCAAGTCGAATGACTCAAATAAGTAGTATATAAATGTATATAATAATAAAGTAGTTCAATTACCATGTGCTTTAATATAAATTCTGTAGAATATTTTATGCAAATTATATGCAAATTAAATCTTAATAAAAGATAAACAAGTTAAAATATGTAACATTACTTTGAGGAATGAATAAAATCATGGACAGTTAATCGAGACAACGAAAAATCCAACTTTTAGGAGAAAAAAAAAGGTCTTATTCGTCTCCCGTTCCATAGAGAATCGGTATCCAAAATAATTGACAAAAAATAATAAAAGTAGCACTAAAATCATGCTCCCCTGAAGCTTAATCTGTGTGCGTGTATTGTGGCACAAGCTCAGTAAGCCAGTCGAAATTATGGATACGTGCCTAGTGGTAACAAGAGGGGTTTCTGCCAGGAAATTCCCAGAAATGTGTACCTACTGGAAAGCAGATATTTAAAAGTCCCAATTACAAGACGTCTTGGGAATAAGGAGGATTTCATCCATATCTCTAAATCTTGCCAATCATTATGTATGCAGAATAAGCAGAATCTATTACGAAGTGTGGAAGCGATTGCAGTCAACCCAACTTTTTCAGACAGACGTAAGCCTACAGAAAAAGAGTGTGATGAATCTCTCACCCACTTGATTTGAATTGCCTCACTTGCATAATTAGCTACATAAGTGAGTTTAATCAACCCTGTGACTATAATTTCAACTTGGTTACTATCTAACCTTATAAGCTAGCAAAGCTAACTCTTTTCTCCTGTTTTTCTGTCGTCTATTCACCTAACCTCTCCCTGTGCTTCTACTTCGCAAAGCACATAAACTAACGATCGTTTGAGCTATAAAGCATAATGCTTATATTTTGCATTCCTTAATTTATAACAGGGGGAAGAAACTTTATGAAGTTCTAACATTTTCTCTGCTATTCTTTCAACAATGAGATTTGTTACTGTTATCCTTTTACAGCCATTTTAATTTCAAATAGTAATGGCTGATGAGGAAGAGTCTGTGAAATAAATTAATATCATTTTATGTTGCAAATTCGCTTTTTCTTCGGTATAGAAAATCGGACAACACTAAATAATCCCGGTTCTTCCTAATTAGTTAATAATTACCAACTTGTGTATATTCACAACCTGGAATCCTGGGATCATTACTACCCAGCGTATGTCAGTTCATGAAATAAAAACAAGCAAAAAGAACATTACTGTGACCAAGATAAAGAAAGAGGTTCAACAAAACGTTGTTGAACACACAATTTAGGTTTCTATCCATGCATAGTTGAAGCTCTAGTTATACATGGGCAGAGACCTAAATTAAATTTTCAGAAGCGGTTTTTTTAAACACCTTAGATATCCACTGATTTTATAAAACCTTATAGGAATAAACAGTTCATTACTCTCATTTATCGCTACATGTTCTAACCACCAGTTAGTCTTGGTTCCCTTCGTATTGAGTTATTTTAATTAAGGAACAAGTTGTAAAATGAATGCTAATGACGAAAACGCAAACGAGTATCAGTCTGAATTCAGTTCATGATGCAATTCACTGTCTAAAAGGAGTATACCTAAAATGAAATAAGATATACTGATGACAGAAATGCTCATAAATCAGTAGATAAAAGTGTGACTAAACTATTTGATTACTGAATCCAAACGAAAACAAATAACTTAATAAAATTTCGATGCATCCAAAACAGAACAGCAGTGTAGTAAATAAAAATAATCTCAAAAAATTTCCACCGGCGATAGAAATTATGTAAGGCAAACATTTAGATACTATCAGTATTTCCAATATCTTTTCATCAATAGGTCTGTTAAAAAAAGAGTTATATAGGAAAATCATACACCATATTATAGTGAGTTTTATCAATGGCTTAACTCGCTAATCCCTTTTCCAAACAAAATAAAGCAGTTGACGATGAAAGAAGATGAAGAGTAGTCTTTCCGTACTCAACTACACTCATCACTTACTGTTATCCGTTTCACGTCTCCTAAGTGGAATATAGGGGGCCTCAGTTGTACATTTAACTGGCTCTACAACTACCCATAAACTTTCATTTCCTTTTCGCATTACCTCCACCATGCAACACTCGGACACTCAACTCTTTGTTAAGTTAGCTGGTGATGAAAGTCTTCAGATACCTGTTGGGAATTATTTCGGGGAAGGTTGAACCAAGACTGTGAACCATACAGAACCACTTACTTGATATTAATGTGTATAATTCCGACCTTATTTCTTGTGGTAAAGGCAGCGCATACCCATATTAAGTTTATAGTGTGTTATAAAAGCGACAATCAGTTCAACTTTTTGGATCTTAGCACGAAAAGAAGAAATGATAGGGGAACTGAAAGGAAACTATTTATAGAAAAAAAATGTGGGTGGGTGAATACTTGAATTGTCACAGTTTTTCTCCAGTTGGAAAGGAGTACTGAATAAAGTTCATGTTTACTGGAGAAATCTAGAGGAGAGAGGATATTTTTATGGAGTTCATAATAAAATCTGGAAGAGGAGGAAGCTTCATAGTGAAGTCCGTGACCGTTGAGAAAATGAGTTTTTGGTTTCTTGGCATCCTTATGGGAAGAAGCATCAACACTAATAGGAAAAGGATCAAAAGTAACCTGATAATGAAATATTATGTCACGGAATGATTCCAACTTATTGCACAAAATGCTGATTAATTCGGTCTAACGTAGTCAAGTATCCTTCTGTACCTACTGATTCATATGCAGTTGCGGTTGCAAGTATATCGGAAGGACTGAGTGGGTAGGGTGCACAATACTTTCTGGGCGTATTCTTAACCATCTTCGTGTGAAAAGTAAGTAAGTGCCATCGCTAAGCATCTCGTTAACACGGAAATCGGTCAAGCCTTTAAAGTAACCAACATACAGAGGAAACTCTGACTAGTTCTCTTTTTTCAGAGAACATTTCTGTCATAAGATTACAACATAAACTATATATACGGGAAGACAGTGTTATATATGTCCAAACCAAGTTCACTTTCAATGGTTTGAAAAAATTTTAGGCATTGGATATTTACAGTTTACAGTTTAAAATTTATTTAGGATAGTAGGCTATATGCCTGTGTTAATCCTTTCGATTTATTGCATACAGGAGGTCCAATCTCGCCTTGAATGAATCAACGGATGGCGCTGATACGACGTGTTCCGGTAGGGAGTTCCAATGGTTCACAATTCGATGCGAAAAACGGATTTCCAGACGCAGACGATTCGACCGTGGTTTTTGAACCTTGAGGTGATGTCCTCGCAATTGGTTGGTGCTAGAAGGAAGAAATAATTTAGATAAATTAGCTCCAAAATCATTTCTTAGGATACGGTATGCTAGTATTAGGTCACCCCTAAGTCGTCTGTATGACAGTGGAAATAAACCCAGTCGACTTAACCTCTCCTCATATGACAGGGTTGAGAAACCCTTTATTAGCTTAGTTCCTACTCTTTGCACCCTTTCTAATAAGTCTATTTCGTATTTGAAACACGGGCTCGCTGCCTGGATCCCATATTCCAAATGAGGTCTGATATAAGTCGGATATAATATACGAAATATATCAGCGTCAAAGTTCGCAAAAGCCTTGCGTATGGCCCATAACATTCGAAAACCCTTAGTGGCTGCAGTTCTACAGTTTGTTGCTGTTTTCAAGTCATGCTGCACAACCACTCCCAAGTCCTTGTACTCAGTGACCACTGGGAGAGTAATGCCATTCATTGAGTAATTGTGCACGTGACTATGGGATACATGCATAACTACACTCTTGCTTAAGTTAATCTCCAAGGCCCAGTGCTTACACCAATCACTTAACAAGTTTAAATCTTCCTGCAAAGCAAGTTGATCACTGTCATCGTGCAAAGCCCTCCATATCTTGATGTCATCAGCAAACAGTAAGCAGGATGACTTAACTACCGATGGAATCTCATTAACATAAATCAGGAAAAGAAGTGGGCCTAGAATTGTACCCTGAGGAACGCCACTCTTAACCGATTCCCATGTTGATAAAACCCCGTTAACTCGTACTCTTTGTCTTCTGTCCTTTAGAAAGTCTTGAATCCAGTCGGTAACCACTTTATTGATTCCCAGACTACCTAACTTTACTAGAAGACCTGAATGAGAAACCCTGTCAAACGCCTTGCTAAGGTCTATGAATATGGCATCCACCGGTATATTAGCATCAGCTGAGCTTGCCCAACTTTCTCTGGCCAAAAGAAGGTTGGTCAAGCAAGAATGACCTGCTCTAAAACCGTGCTGTTCCACAGCGAAAAGTTTGTTCCCTTCAATGAACTGAATGATAGCATCACGAATTATTCTTTCTAGTAGTTTAACAACAATACTGGTCAAACTAACAGGACGATAGTTCTGAACTAAGTTTCTAGATCCGGTTTTGAAGACCGGACTAATGATGGCATCTTTCCAGTCTCTTGGACATTTAGACTGGTCCAGAGACATATTGAAGATTACCGACAATGGCTCGGCTATGCTTTCAGCCAATGCTGTTAATATACGTGGGTGGAGTTCATCAGGGCCACTGGACTTACCAGGATTGAGCCTTAGAAGCCACTTTAGGACAGTATCCTTTCCAATGTATAAGGGTGCCATTTTCAAGTTACCTTTGGAAAATTTACAAAGCTGGTATCAATATTATCAGAGAATACTTGACTAAAGTGCTTGGACAAAGCCTCAGCCTTAGTCAAGTTATCCTCAGCCATGTTTGTCTGGTCATCTTCAAGCATAAGAGGTGGGATAGCATCACTCTTACGTGTTCTTCTCTTGATATATGAGAAGAGTCTTTTTGGGCAGCCTGGTGAACTTTTAACTAACTGGGTTTCGTAAGCTATCCTTGACTGGTGGATCAAAGTTTTACACTGGTTTCTGGTTTCACAGTATTTCAGCCGGAACTGCTGTAGCCCAGTAGAAACAAAGAGATTCCAGAACCTTTTTCTCCGTCTCAGGAGTGTTATAGCTTGTCTATTTATCCATGGTGGCCGATTTGTTGGCCTTTTAGGA